TTTTTGGTGGAACTGGGGATTAAACTCAGGACCTTGTGCTTGCCAGACAAGCATTTATTCTACTGAGCTATCTCCCTGGCCCCCAGTTTTGAAGGTTTTAATAAAAGTAGAACTGCCAGATTATATGCCCTGATTTCCAAAGGTTTATCTTTGCATGAGAAACAGCTCTTCTCATTTGTCTAGTCATTCACTCAATCACCCAGACACTGGTTTCTGGAACTGCTAGGTCCTAGGAATACAAAGACAGTATCTAGGGGCCAGGGAGATGGCTCAGTGGAATAAGTGCTTCCCTGGCAAGCGCAAGGGCCTGAGTTCAATCTCCAGTTCCACCAAAAAACAAACAAACAAACAAAAAAAGACAGTATCTGTTTCCAGATCTCTAGTCTAGTAAAAAAAGAACATACTGTCTTAGTTACTGTTCTCATTGCTGAGACAAAGCATCTGACACCAAGGCTACAGGAGGAAAGTCATCATTCAGCTCACAGTGTGTAGAGGTTGCAGTTCATAGTTGGCTGGTTCCAAGACAGAGCGGCATCAGAGAGGTTCATCAAAAGAAAAAACAGTTTATGGTTGGCAGAAGGCAGCAAAAGCAAGCAATTTGATAATAGCAGCTCCTTTCCTCATCTTTTACAGTCTACTTAAGCTCCCTGGCTTGGGGTAGGTGCCTAACCAATCACTGGACTAATTTAGTAACCACATACCCTTAATCCATGTCACATGTCCTAGATTCAGCCACCTCTGAAGAAGACCCACCTATGACTCCATGAAGCAACAGAACTAAAGCAAGACTGAAATTCAACAATTTAAATTTAAATTCAACAAATGTAATCCTATAGCTCTATACCCAGCACCTGAGGCCAGTGTGGCAGTATGTGAGCTCCCAGTGGTTGGACAACCCCACCCCTACAGCATGGCTGATGGTCGGACACCTCTTGGCTTTTCTTTTGGGCTGGCTTTCCTCACTCCTTGTGGCTTTCCTCAGATGATCTATGTTGCTGGGTTCTCCACCTTTCTACGGTTTCTACTGGACTTTCAGATTCACTCTCACAGCTTCACACATTGCCTTCTCAGGGGCACACTGCCTGGCTTCCAAGGCTTTCTTCTGAAATCTGGGTGGGAGCTTTTATTACTATCTAACTCAGTACATGTCTACATGCCTATAGACCCAGCCCCACATAGATAACTCCAAGGTGTGCTGTCAGCTAAAGCAGTAGCCAGGCCCTTTTGCGTAATTGCTGAAGAGGCTTCTCAGTGCCTGGGTAGTTAAACATTGTGAACTAAATTCTGAGGAACCAATGCCCTAGGCTGCCATTTGGAAGCATACTGCCCTGGGCCTCTTTATTAACAATGGGGCTCTTTGTGACTCTTGACCTGTCCTTAATCATATTTCCTATTGTCCTGATCCAAAGTACTATATTTGGCTTATTTTTAATGCTAGTCTTTCCAGAAACCAAGCTCTCCTCTGCTGTCTTTGTAGGCCCCTTTTTTTCTGGCAAATGTTGTAAATGGGCTGGATTTTTCCTTTCATATTTTGGTATAAACCTGGCTAAAATCCCCCCAAAGTATCCATGCTACACTAGTGAGCTGCCTTGAAATTTCTTCCACAAGTCGTTGTTGCTGTTGTTTTAATGTATTTGGTACAGGGTCTCACTACACAGCTCAGACTCCTAGTGATTATCCTGTTTTCAGCCTCCCTAGAGCTGGGATTACAGGCATGCACCACCACAGCTGGACTTGGTGGCCAGCTCAGTGAGCCTAGGGGTGGGGCCCGCACAGCATGCTGTACCAGGGATTGAACCCTGGTCCCTGTGCTTGCCTCAGGAGGCATGTAGTCCACTGAGCTATCCTGCTGGCCCTCTTCCACAAGATTATTCAGTCTCCTTCACTTAATCCCAATCTCTTATAAAGTCTCAGGACATGAGTAAAGTATAGACAAATTTCCCACCAAGGTGTTAAACATGTGGTCTCAGAGTCCAAATTCTAATGGAATCTTTTTTCCCAACTGAACTCCTGGGCCAGGTATTTAACATCTCCACTTCTGTCCACATTCTGATCTTTTGAACTCTAACCAAAATCTCCCATCAAGCTTGGCCCTTGGCATTCCTGGGCTTCCCTCACTGTCATCTTCAAATTTTTCCAAACTCCTCCCTCAAACCAATTCTGAGGGGCTGGTGAGATGGCTCAGTGGTCTAAAGCACCTACTTAGAACAAGCTTCGCAAAAAAAAAGGACAGGGACCTCGGTTCAATCCCCCAGCACCACATGCCAGCCAGCCCCGCCCCCTGGTGGACTGAGCTGGCCACACACACACACACACACATAAATAAAAATTATTAGAAAAAAAAAAAAACCAATTCTGAATCACATGTATCTAGGTTACTTTTCTCATTGCAGAGACAAAAATACCTGACACCCAAGGTGAAAGGACAGGAGGTTTACTTAGCTCACAGCATGCAGAGGCCTCAGTTCCTAGTTGGCTGGATTGGAGGCAGACTGCATTACAGAGGAGGAATTACAGTTCACAACGAGCAGAAGGCAGCAAAGGAGTGAAGAAGCAGAGCCACAAACAACCACAGCAGCCCTCCTCCTGTCCTTAGATTCTGTCCATTCAACCCACACGTAGCCTGGGTAGCATTAATAACCTGGGAGGGCCTTCCAATTATCCACCCCCAGAACTATGCTAAACCAGTCAGTGGACTAATGTAATAATAACATATCCTTGATCCCAGTACTATACACTTAGTTCCAGCATCACACATCTAGATCCAGCCACCTCTGAAATGCCTTACCTATGACTGCATGAGTTATTCTGGGGACCTCTAGAAACAAACTATAACATGGTTAGGTACAATCACAACAAACCCACTTCTCTGATACCAAACTCTTAGTCACTTTTCTCATCACTGGAACAAAATATACAACACTGCAATTTAAAGGAAGAGAGATTTATCATATTTCAGTACATGGCCAGCTGGCTTTGAAGAAGCCACAGAGGGACACTGCAGCGGAACAATGCTCATGGGATGGCAGATGAGGCAGAGAGAAGGGAGGATGAGGGAGGGAGCCGACCCTTACAAACCACTACCCCAATGTCCTGTTTCCTCCAATCTGAACTTGCCTCCCAACAGCAAGTCAGTTGAATACACTGATAATCCAATCACTCTTCCAAAGCCCTGCCTGTGAGTGCTTAGGACTTTAGAGAACATCTAGATACAAACCTAAA